AGCCCCCTCTCCCACTCCTCCCCTTCACATCATTTTGCTATGAAGATGACAGTATTACAATGTATTCAAGAATTTGATCGTTTAATTTAAACCACCAACACACCAGCACAGAAACAACCTGGATCTATCACAAACGCCTGATCTGGCCATGTGAAAAGACTTGCAGCAGGTCTATTTACCTTACTTTTCACCACAAAGCAGAGACAATTATAAAACCAAAACACTGAAAAAAAAAAAGATTATTTTGAAAAAAATAAAACAATAAACAACAAAACGAACTAATACAAACAAAATGAAACACGGGTACTTTTAACGGCAAATTGTTCTAGATCAATCACAATCCGAGTATACCAGTTTCATGTAACAGTATTGGCTGAATTTTCAGGGACATTTGAGAAGAAAGAATAAAAACCAATACATCTGGGAACAAAAGTGCATCTTTGTCAAAGCCTCTGGCAAAGGGTCCACACTGCAGACTAACAGGAGGTACAACCACCCTGAGGCTCGAACGAAAAACATGTGAACAACTACAGTTCAACCTGTTCCAACGGTCACCTCCCGAAGACAACCATATTTACAACAGTCACTTCCTAACCCTCTTCCCACTGTGAGGGTTTGGTTTTTTTCCTACATTATAAGGACACTATCCAAAATGTCTACTTGTCTAAGAACCACTTTTCTCCTAAAAAAAAAAAATGTAATAAAATGGGTGGCCTTCTTGGAGAATTTCCACTGTATGCTCTATTGTGTGGGAGAGATATCTACTTCCATGCACCATTTCCGTCTTCTTTCCATCCTCTGCCTTTTTAAAAATTATTACTCTAACCACACAGACACAACTTCCGCCAGTAAAATGACCTGCTGCTTGTGTGCGGCAGGGACACTTGGTAAAACAACAACAGAACAAAAGTGAGCATCTCCTCCCTCTCACTAAAGCTACGACGGTAGACGCACGCACCAGTGATATGTCACGGAATTCCATCATACCAACAGCTCGTGCACAGAAAAAGACGTATCCCCACGTCAAAATCAATCATCACAAAAGACAAAACATTCCAGAGACGACAACAACTGTGCCACAGCTCCATAGTGGCACATCGATAACACCCCC